GGTGGGAGGGGGGCAGTGGATAGCGCATTAGCGGGCCGGGGTACGATTCCCCGATCGGACGTGAAAAGGTATGGGGTCACCTGCCCGGGTTTTCTCCAGGTACTCCAGTTTCCTACCACCCTTAGACACAGCCCCCTCCCCGCGCTAATATCCGGGCCAACAAGAGTTAAAATAAATAAAATTTATATTTAAAGATAAATGAGGGATATACACACTTTCTTTCCCAAGAACTAGCTTTATTTCCAAATGGTAGAGCTGCGGTCATAGGGCGAAAGAAACTTGCCATTTTCCCGAAATACTATTCATCAGCAGTTTTGCTATACCGAAAGTTTGCACCTTGAGTTCGTTATACGGTAAAAGCAATACAAACATGAAAAACATATAGAAAAGAATGGTGAATGACCAACCTGCCGCACGCATTAGGCGAGTAAAGCGGTCTGTTACGTGTCAGTTGATTGGTCTAAAAGCATTCAAGCCACGCCCATTTTCTGAGTTATCTCCCCGGGGATGCAGATTCAGAAAACTCGCATTAGGTGATCTGGTGGTGCAGTTGATAGTGCCACCGCCTTCCACCAAGGCGGCCGGGGATCGATTGTCCAATCATATTATTTCAAAGACTAGCGGACATCAACGTATTAAAAACAATATTTACATTACATTTACAAACAGTACTAAAGAAATAAATTTGTTAAAATATATATATATAGAATGAAATAATAAGTGGATGCTTATTAATTTATTTTATGTGTCCCTTCGCAAGAACTTGTTTAATTATTTTCTACTTATTTATTTATATACCTGGCCTTCACTCTGTTCAAGGTGACCATCTTCGCTAGCCAAGTGTTCACTTCTTACACGAAGCGAACACGTACTTGGCTAGCGAAGATGAAGGTGACCGGCTCGTATCTTTGTTTAGTAAATACACACTAAAAGGGGAAAACTGGTATATATTTATACTCTGTATTACAACTTGTTGTTTACGTCTGCCCAATACACACGTGTTTCGACAACACACATCATTACCAGAGATAGTGTCTCGTTTTGCGTTCTCTCGCTTCTACTTTTTATCAAGCGTTCTGATCATCCTGATGTGTTTTGCAGAAACAATGTTTCCAAGTTATCTTTACGCTTTTATTACATAAACCATGCATTGTTTCTTTGACGGAGATCGCACGCGTACGAGCTGATACAACCAGTAAACAGTAAAACGACTTTAAAGTGTGGCATTGTGCCTAGTAGTTACAAATCTCAGGAACAAAACATTCAAAAGTATTCTACGTTGCATATTTTGAAGCGATTTTACATGAATTGAGAGAGAACATATGAACCGGATCTCTGCCAACACACTCCGAACCCACCCACACAAACATGTCTTGTGCAACTCTATTAATAATCCTTTCTAAATAACAGTTTACCTGATTGGATTATATTGATCACGTGATTTTCGATTAAGGCATTCTTTTACCCTCTCGCACTCGAGATTTTCCTGTCACATTTTCCTTCATTCGGGACCTCCATAGGAAAAACGTTATTGAGCGACTGAAGCTGACGACAACAATGGCGCGTGGTGTGGCATGATCATCCTTACTGTTTTGTCATTTTTATATTTCGATTTGATGAAATAGCTATTCCCTTTTTGATAGGAAGACATAATTCCCTCTTTCGAAACGTGGTTAAATCTTGGGGAAACAAAGAATTGAGTTTCCGTACCACATGTGGAACAATTATCTCTTACCGGTCCCTAACTCAGCTTTAAGTCCTTATATGTGACAGTTAGCGGATGGGAAAATAAGAAGTTGAGAATTTAAAACTATGCGAATGTTTTGATACATATACAAGCGGTAAAAAGAAACTGTGCATGCGGAGAATTGTTATAGAACATGTATTATCAACTGTATATACATGAAAATTCACACACATGACCAAGTATGACACATACACACTATCCGTGTGTCATTGACGGTTTTCCCGTGCAGTTTGCTCTCTATAGGCGTTGACCAGTTTGCACGTTTTTCTCGTCCAGCCATCAAATTGGACAATGAAAGTTTATTTTTCAACTGTTGGGTCACTCTGTTGAGACCAGTGAACAGTAAAAACAACATTATAACGTTTTAATACGTGATTAATGCTATGCCGAGGCTTAATGAAAATGACCGCCTCCGGATTATTGGTATGCTTCAAGCTGGTATGGGCCAAGCCGTTTTCTATACACGTTTTCATGTCCATTGAAACACAATCCAGGATTTGTGGAGACGACATCAACAGTTTGGCCACGTCGGCGATCGACCTCGTGCGGAACGACCACGTGTGACGTCAAGTCAACAGGACAACCATATTCGGCTTGTCCATTTGAGAAATTCCTTCCAAACGGCAAGTTTTACTGCACGGACAATCCCTGGGTTGCTACCAATAAGCCCGAGAAATGTACGGAACCGATTGTGTGAACGAGCTATCCGTCCGCGACGTCCTGCAATCCGCCCAGTTTTTCTGCCACGTTATCGTGTAGCACGTCTGGACTGGTACAGAAGGCATCTGCGATTTACTCGACGTGATTGGGCAAGCATTTTGTTTACGGACGAGTCGCGAGTCCACCTGGATAGTAGTGACGGCCGTTCCAGAGTGTATCGTCGCGTCGGAGAACGTTTCCGTGACGCGTGTGTGGTACAGCGACGTTCTTTCGGCGGAGGCAGAGTTATGATTTGGGGCGGCATCACAGCCAACGGGAGAACGCTTCTGGTGGTTGTATAACGGGAATTTGAACGCGCTACGTTACCGTGACGAGATCCTCCGGACCCACGTCGTTCCATTCGTACAAGGGCAGAAACGTCACATTACACTACAGCAGGACAACGCCAGGCCACACACAGCTCGTGTCGCTATGGACTTTCTGGCCCAGCAGAACGTTGACGTGTTGCTCTGGCCTGCTGTATCCCCCGATCTGTCGCCCATTGAACACGTGTGGGATGAAATGAAGCGCAGATTACGGGGATTACCTAATCAACCGGTGACGTTGGCTGATTTGGCTGCAGCGTTGGGACAGATCTGGAATGCCATCCCACAAGCATTCTTGAACCGTCTGATAGGCTCCCTCCGTCGACGTTGTCAGGCTTGCATTCAGGCAAACGGTGGACATACGAGGTATCAACTTTGTGAACTCAGTATTGACCCCTGCTATGTTTACGTCACTCTTGACCGGTACTTATTGATTCCATAACGTGGAAAATGGAATGCAACTGTTAATAAATAACAAATAAATTGTTCCTGAAAACCTTGGTGTTCTACGTCATACACATTTATTTTTATAACACATTTTAGGCATGCACAGTTTCTTTTTTCCGCTAGTATATATAACAATATGGATATTTATTACTCATTGTCCACTTCATTGATATAAATACTCGCCGAACTGGGTCGATTCAAGCACATACACAAAAATAAATATCCGTATGATAGGAAATCGCGAATTCAAATAATCTTCGATTATGTTGTAAAATATATTTGAAGAATTAGTTTTTATCACGAATGGTTTAATTAAAATTAAAATCCTCGAATATGTTTGTTTGAACTCAATCGCGAAAAGAAATATTCACGAAAATAATTAACCTAGAAAAAAAAGCATTTTGGAATGCTGTGCTGGGTGCCTTCGACATGTTAATTCAGTGAGATAGCACCATAAAGTCGGCATCAGATCCGCACTATTACAAGGAGACAAGAACACCAACATTCCATGTCTCATGCATACACACATGGAGGCACGTCCTTAAATGACATTAACTGTTAAAAGGACGTTAAACAAAAGTAAACCAAACCAAACCACACATCCGAAAGATCGGCAAATATTCATTCCATGCTTCTCTCGCATTTGACATTATATTAGAACGAGCCAATCGTATAGTTAGGATTTCAGATGTACATTCACTGTATGTACAGCAAACCGCTAACCATACGGCTCGGAAACCACGAAGAACGCCAGAGTCAAAATATGCTGAATGCATTTGCCAGGTCTTCTGTACACAAAAACAATCAAGACAGTTACTTCGGCCAAAAGGACTTTTATTTCCAGCATCGCCGTGATGTTCAGTAGCCAGTTCCATGGGCCCTCTGCCAAGCATTCTAGCTCATAGAAGTTCCGCGCCAATGCGAACATCAACCACAACAACAAGGCGGAAGTGACGTTTAACGATAGTGACGAGAGGAAATTAGTCTTTGTGTTTCTGCTCCCTCTCATAGCACATATGCCCACTGCTACCGGTGTTAGCGTCTAAATTCCTGTTATTCAACATCTCGTTGATGAAGAAGTCAGCCTTACAATGTTAAACAAGCAGTTAAAACAAGACAAAACATCAATGTCTTTAGAACTGTTAGAAAAGAAAGCAGGCGGCGTGCCGTACAATCCCCCCAAATTACTTCGCGTTATGTACTTTGCACAGGAGCGAGCGATTTCAAACAAAACGCTGATTATTGACTTGAATTTAGGAGGCGTGCAGTTACTGAAGAGATGTTTGTGCTGCCCCCGGCTAAAACGTTACTCGTGATTATGTGAGATTTAACTAGAACTAATTTGTGAAAGAGCAGTAAATGGTAGCTCATTTGCATAAATATATAGGTTAGTGTCGGAAGTCTGTGGTATCTGTTGTTGAACTCACCCTAACATTATAGGTACTCTAAAACAGGTGGCATCTTCAGTACAAATTAAATGTTTCCTCTCTAAAATTTGTGATTCGTGGGTTTTTTTCTTCTTTTTTTCCACATAATGCAATGTAAAATACATATGTTGTTGTGTGACTGGATATAAATAAACATAATGTGTATTTCAATTCTAGAACGACTTGATTCTCCATAAATAAAGCGATTACGAGAATGTCTTAATCATCTAAGCAGGTACCTCAAAAACGATCTTTGTAATCGGATATCGTCGGGAAAGTCCGGTGCTTTCGGAAAGGCCCGAAGATGTCCGATTGCACCCTTTGAATATGATGGGCCAGTGAATTCCGTTGCTTTTATCAAAATATATTGATTATAAGATTTAAAAAAAAAAAAAATCAATGTGCGTTTATTTAACAATACACCTAACGAAAAATGACCGGCCATTGACCACTAAACCGTTTATAATTGAGTGTTAATATACTCAGAAACTAAGGAAAGGCAATTCGAATCATGGCGGAATGTTTTGTCAAACGTTGACACACATTCCTTCAAGACCTGCGATCGCTGACGACATCACCCAATTTATGTTCTACTGGATCCAAGATAAGAGCGAGTCCAATGTTTGTTCCGGGAGAGTATATACCTGCTCAAGAGATTTGTAAACAGTTCGTGGGAAATCGCCATTCTTTATTTACGTAGTAGAAACCCTTTCGTTAGCATGTAAGTGTTCTTTGCTCGTTCCAAACGTTGCGATTGCAAATACATGTATAGCCCGGGGATCAATACTAGATCAGTGTCTGTAAACGTTTAGCACCAAAGGACGTCATCTCACATATTGTATCTAACCTCGATATAATGTCCCTTGTTTCATTTTCCACCTCGTTTACCTTAAATAATTCCTTTTATACATTACCCTAAATTTATCGCCAAACCCCTTTATAACGACGGTGGCAGTATAAAGAGGTTTATCTGTAATTCATTAAAGAATACTTACTTACTTACCTACTTAATCCTGTTCGTCCCGTATGGGACATAAGGCATCAACAATTCGTCTCCATTAAAGGATACATTTGGCCCTAAATGACTTTAAGTTGTCGACGGGACGACCGTGATACAATACAAAAACATTTAGATACAAAACAATACAATATTGTATTCTAACGTTTAACGTTTATGTCGGTATCAACGCAAGATGGTTGTATCCATATTCTTTGAAACCCACTTAAATGTCGTTCAATTCATAAATTAACATTCTTGGTTAACGTTTCAAATAATCAACACACACACACCCGCATCGTCAGTGCAAAAGACTTTTTGGAACAGCCAAACGTCACAGAAACGCTTGTTTCTAATCAACACACACACACACACACCCGTATCGGCAGTGCAAAAGACTTTTTGGAACAGCCGAACGTCACAGAAACGCGTGTTTCTAATCAACACACACACACACGTATCGTCAGTGCAAAAGAACAGCCGAACGTCACAAAAACGCTTGTTTCCTTCAAAGGTTTTTCACATTTTAATATGCGACGCGAAGCCAGAAAACGACCACAAATCCAATTACGTTCATACCTCTTTTATCTAAATTATATCACAATATGCCTAACTACTTGAAGAAGGCGGAAATGCCTGAGGATTCTAATAGTTTGGGAATATTGTAGGGAAATCAATAATCTGCCCAATAAAGATAACCATACCTCCATAATTGTACAATTATACAATTTTGATAACTGTTTCAATTTTCAATATTTTATTTGCTTTTAAATCGCTCCCAAAACGATAATTCACATGTAACCAAATAATAATTTCGTGAGGAAACAGTGGTATATTTAGAAAGATATTATCGTTTACTCATTCACAAATTCAAGCAATACAGACCTGCTATCAGTTATTGCATATGACAGTTAAATGTTACGCGTGAAAGAAACCAATATACGTCACGTTTATTTTAATTAAAACGGTGAATCTAGTCGTTTTAAGCACCGTTTTCACTGCCTTGGAAGGAATCACAAAATGTCAGTGGCGTATATCGATTTCAAATAGTGTTAGCTTAACGACAAGATGGACAATATGAATTACAAAAATTGTCTACAAAAAAACAACAACAAAAACCTTAACACACTTGTAGAAGGATTTAGATAGATCCTGTCCAGAATAAAAAAAAAAGCAACATAAAAAAAAAATTACGGTTGTGAAAATTTACGTTTAAATGTCGCAAAGCTAACAAGCCTTTGAACTATTGATCTGATTTGATGTCTGATTGAATTACAAGACTCCTACATACGTTGCTGCTGTCGTCGCGGCCATATACTGTCTCTTGACACTGAGCGAAAACTGACCGCCGAGGTTGTAATTATGGTCTCACCTTTGGTATTCACGTCGCCAACTCTAATGGAGCCTAGAAACTGCTAATGTCATTTAGTGATCACCCTTTTTTTTTTATCAGGTTCTTTGGTATTAGCGGAAAACTAAGAATGATCGATCCAGTTTATTGCTGTGATCAATAAATTAAGTGCAGATGATTGGCTTTGCTAATGACGCATCTCGCTGGAACTGGGATTGGTGGGGCAAACGCAAACTCATAACAAAAGCAGTACTGATCAAATCCAACATAACCGGTGCAGTACTGGTCAAAATATCATAACCGGTACAGTACTGGTCAGAAATATCCTATCCGGTACAGTACTGGTCGCAAATATCATATCCGGTACAGTACTGGCCACAACTCTCGTATCCAATAATAACTGGTGACAACTCTCATATCCGGTACAATACTGACATAGTTAACATACCTGGTACTGTACTGGCAACAACTCTCATATTAGGTACAGTACTGGCCACAACTCTCATATCCGGTACAGTGCTGGTGACAAGTCTCATATCCCGTACAGTACTGGACACAACTCTCATATCTGGTGCAGTACTGGTGACAACTCTCATATCCGAAACATTACTGGTGACAACTTTCATATCATGTACAGTACTGATCGAAACTCGAATATCTGGTCCAGCACTGGACACAACTCTCATATATGGTGCAGGATTGGTCACAACTCTCATATCCGGTACATTACAGGACACAACTCTCATATATGGTGCAGGATTGGTGACAACTCTCATATCCGAAACATTACTGGTGACAACTTTCATATCATGTACAGTACTGATCGAAACTCGCATACATGGTACAGCACTGGACACAACTCTCATATATGGTGCAGGATTGGTCACAACTCTCATATCCGGTACATAACAGGACACAACTCTCGCATCTGGTACAAAACTGGACACAACTCTCATATCCGGTTCAGTACTGATCGAAACTCTAATATCCGGTACAGTACTGATCGAAATTCTCATATCCGGTACAGTACTGATCGAGACTCTAATGTCCGGTACAGTACTGATCGAAAGTCTCGTATCCGGTACAGTACTGATCGAAACTCTCATATCCGGTACAGTACTGATTGAAACTCTCATATCTGGTGCAGTACTGGCCACAACTCTCATATCAGGTACAGTACTGGACACAACTCTCACATCTGATACAGTACTGGACACAACTCTCATATCAGGTACAGTACTGGACACAACTCTCACATCTGATACAGTACTGGGCGCAACTCTCATATCCGATACATTACTGGTGACAACTTTCATAGCCGGTACAGTACTGGACACAACTCTCACATCTGGTGCAGAACTGGACACAACTCTCATGTCCGATACATTACTGGTGACAGCTCTCATATCCTGTACAGTACTGATCGAAACTCGCATATCAGGTACAGTACTGGACACAACTCTCACATCTGGTACAAAACTGGACACAACTCTCATATCCGATACATTACTGATCGAAACTCTCATATCCGGTACAGTACTGGACACAACTCTCACATCTGGTACAAAACTTGACACAACTCTCATATCCGGTACATTACAGGACACAACTCTCTCATCTGGTACAAAACTGGACACAACTCTCATATCCGGTACAGTACTGATCAAAACTCTAATATCCGGTGCAGTACTGATCTAAACTCTCATATCCGGTACATTACAGGACACAACTCTCATAGCCGGTACATTACAGGACACAACTCTCACATCTGGTACAAAACTGGACACAACTCTCATATCCGGTACAGTACCTATCGAAACTCTCATATCCGGTACAGTACTGATCGAAACTCTCATATCCGGTACAGTACTGATCGCAACTCTCATATCCGGTACAGTACTGATCGAAACTTTCATATCCGGTACAGTACTGATCGAATCTCTAATATCCGGTACAGTACTGATCGAAACTCTAATATCCGGTGCAGTACTGATCGAAACTCTCATACCCGGTGCAGTACTGATCGAAACTCTCATATCCGGTGCAGTACTGATCGAAACTCTCATATCCGGGGCAGTACTGATCGAAACTCTCATATCCGGTACAGTACTGATCGAAACTTTCATATCCGGTACAGTACTGATCGAAACTCTAATATCCGGTACAGTACTGATCGAAACTCTCATATCCGGTACAGTACTGATCGAAACTCTAATATCCGGTACAGTACTGATCGAAACTCTAATATCCAGTACAGTACTGATCGAAACTCTCATATCCGGTACAGTACTGATCGAAACTCTCATGTCCGGTACAGTACTGATCGAAACTCTCATATCCGGTACAGTACTGATCGAAACTCTCATATCTGGTGCAGTACTGATCGAAACTCGCATATCTGGTACAGTACTGATCGAAACTCTCATATTCGGTACAGTACCGGTCGAAACTCTCATATCCGGTACAGTACTGATCGAAACTCGCATATCTGGTACAGTACTGATCGAAACTCTCATATTCGGTACAGTACCGGTCGAAACTCTCATATCCGGTACAGTACTGATCGAAACACTCATATCCGGTACAGTACTGGTCGAAACTCTCATATCTGGTGCAGTACTGGTCACAACTCTCATATCAGGTACAGTACTGGACACAACTCTCATATCTGGTGTAGTACTGGACCAACTCTCATATCTGGTGCAGTACTGGACCAACTCTCATATCTGGTGAATAGTGGATATAATACAGTAAATGTCACAATTTCCATACCGACACAGTTCCACTCAGTCGCCACACCGCCACACGTATTTCCTGATCCTATCTTGAATTTTACGGGAGAACATTTTCTGAGTCTGATCGATAGTTTACGACTTCCATTGGATTACAAACAGAAGTGTATTTCGCCAGAAGATTCTGTAGCCCTATTTTCATTGCATACGAAAGGTCAAAGGATCTGCTGGCGACATGGGGTCCCACACAATATTTCTGTATCTCACGCCACACAGTATTGAGCAAGCATGCAAGGTCCAACCTTTTGATGCAAGTACAAACGGACCGTACCTAAATTATTTAAGGATCTCTGTGCCACTGCCAAAAAATGTAACAACACATTGGAAACATTTTTTTAGACATGAATATAGCGCTGATAAATTATTTTTTGAAGGAATAGCTTGCCCTGCGTGACTTCATTAAAAATATGAAAATGGAAAAAAATAAAAATAAATAGCAAAAAATCATTAAACAGTGAACTGACTGTAACATTGCAACGTTGCGTGACCAACATTCGAACCCTGGACCGCCAATCATCATTCTGTCATTCTAACAACTATCCTATCTGGTCAACGATGGAACTTGGCACAGTTGCAGTATATCAAAAGCAGAATCAAGGGGAGATAACTGTTCGAAAAAACTACAGTGGACTTCTCCAGTGTTTTGCCCGCAGTGGGACAGGGATCCCTAACACATTCACAACTATTGATCCATTGAGTTTGACAATGCTCATTTATATATTTTGTAGTATATATACAGTTCATGAATCCATTGACTTGCCAATGTTGCTCATGAATCCAATGAGTTAAACAATGCTCATCGATATACTTTGTAGTATACATACAGTTCATGAACCCGTTGACTTACCAATGTTGCTCATGAATCCAATGAGTTAAACAATGCTCATTGATATACTTTGTAGTATACATACAGTTCATGAATCCATTAACTTGCCAATGTTGCTGATGAATCCAATGAGGTTAACAATGCTCATCGATATACGATTGTAGTATACATACAGTTCATGAACCCGTTGACTTACCAATGTTGCTCATGAATCCAATGAGTTAAACAATGCTCATTGATATACTTTGTAGTATATATACAGTTCATGAATCCATTGACTTGCCAATGTTGCTGATGAATCCAATGAGTTAAACAATGCTCATCATGGTATGCTGTTAAGGATCTATTGCGTTGCAATGCAGTTCAAGGATCCATGGAGTTCGAAAATTGCATGGATCCATTTAGTCTTAGAAAATGTCCAGATACAACAACATATATTAACAATTTAAGAATTATATAAGTTACATTGTCGTTCATGGAATCATGGAGTATGACAATGCTGACCAATATACGCAGTTCAAAGATACTATAAATTTGCTCATATGCACCAATATGTGTAGTTGATGGAATCCCTGAATTTTAATCGGACGTCTTGCGATATTTTTTTCTCTCCCATCTTTCACTAAATACTCCATTCAATTCGTTCAAGATTTATCTGTCATCCCTTGGGATAGTATTTCTCTTTAACATCCTCAGAGTATGACAGGTGGCACACGGGAGAAAGCAATGCGATAACGTCAGGGGAACAAAACATTATGACGTCATAGCTTTCAACGGGAGAGGTTAATTGCAAATCAAACATGCCAGACTACTGTCAGTAGAGATGTAAGTAAAGTAATAAGATGAGAGAAATGTAACTCATTCTCTACATTGAGTGTGTTATACAGAAATCTACGACTCCCGGGGTGATAACTTGGTTGTCCAACCCTCTGCAGATCCTCGGGCGTGATAGCCAATATGTTCACCTACTCGGGTTGGCGAATTCTCTGCCGCACTCTCAAGGCTGAGGAAGATTTTATTAGTCTCTTCTCGTTTCTCTGTCGCCACCTCACTGGTAACAACCAATAACAATGATTAAAAGTGGATACCAACTTCAGCATATGTGGTAAGTATCTTCTCCGAATTTCCGATTAGTTTACCTTTGACCTCTTTGCTGACTTCACGTTTTAAAACTGTCTGTATTTTTATTGACATCAAAGATTTTAATTGCCGTTTTAGATTCCGTAAAGAAGCCCTTAGTCTTTGACGTACCGTTTGAGAATAGTAGGTTAACTGTTGGAACAGTAGTTCTTGTCATGTGTTAAAGCACATGTCATTGCCTCGTGCTCATATTTTTTATTGTAATTAACTATTTTTTACTGTAATTAACTAAGATAAAAAAATCTAAGATCGTACAATGTAGATCTAATATATGAAATGCCATAACCTAATGAGAATTCTGAAGGACCGTCTTCATATTAATTTGTGCTCTTTTAAGCGGATATAAATGCAAAATATTGAAGACCGTCCACAAAATGAAAAAGAAGAAAAATACCAATCTAATGATGATAGCAAACAAGCAAAAAACTGAAATTACGATGAAATTACTGCGCAATTTTGTGTTTTGTGCAAAATTGTTTTGTTTTTATCAGAATTGAATAAACATTAATTGACTTTGTACAATTTCGATTGAAACATATTGCATTGCCTTTAAAGCAACAGGATTTGGCACAAGTTGTACAACTTATTTAAAGCCCTTTCCCTAAAAAATAAAAACATCTGTATGTATTTACCAAAATTCAAGATGGCATATACAATATACACAACCATTTGTACATATATTATGAGAGAGAGAGAGAGAGAGAGAGAGAGAGAGAGAGAGAGAGAGAGAGAGAGAGAGAGAGAGATTTTAAATATGTATTTTTCATAATGTGGACAACCTTTTCCGACACTGATGGCAGAAGTTGACACTATACCGTTTCCTAAACATTCTGCTTGTACTATTGTCAATCACTCCCGTGCCTTGGTTGGCTATGTGCTAAAAAGTGTTGTCTGTTTTTTAAAAATTAAATTATAAGGAATAAACATTATTATGTTGGGGGTTATAGGTACGCTACCTACCGACAAAGAACTGTGTGACAAGCGGGTTCGCGGATTTATGCACCAAAATGGACACACTTGTTTCGGTATAAATCGTATAACCCCCCAAATAATCCTGGTTATTCATTTAACTCATTCACCCCTGTAGACACATTTGAACTCCTCCAGTTCAAAGGTTGGGATAGTCCTTCATGAAATTTCAGAGGTGAATGAGTTAATGTACCACTATATTGCGATCCAGATACCCATATAATCAATTGACGATTGGTCACTATGACCATTTCGAGATTTTCGGGCTAGCACTGTTGACCACAGCAAAGTCATAACCTTGTTTTTCAGAGGTCGAGATGGTGAGGTGATGGTATAGCTGCGGCTAAGCAATTTGGGGCCTTCCGTAGGTCGGTGTTTGAGGTCAGACAGGGCATGAGTAAAGAAATGTCATTATTCGTCACCTGTTTTTCTATGTTGTTTAAGCTAATCAATGTTCCTCCTATCACTGCAAAAAAAAAAAAAAAAAAATGTTACTATGCATTGCATTCCAAATTATTTCTGAAAAGAAAAGATAATATTGCGGGACTTTCATAATAAACCAAAATTAAATAAGTACATAAGATAAAATGAACCAAAATATCAACAACAATGTTCTTAGAGTATAGAAATAAACCCGAGATTCGAACCCTGGACCTCATGTCATTATACTTTAACTCTAATCAACAGAACTGGTCAATGGAAGCGATAAATCTATGTACGAAACAAACTACAGTAGTATTATCTAATGTTTTGTCTGCGAGTAGGATAGTGATCGTTATTAAACACAATATATCGCATATACTCGCGTGTGTTGATCCGAATATTTTAGACATGAACTATATATATTAGATGAAACACATTGTTTCTACGTCATCATTGGTAGGATCATAATCACGTGGAGGTCGATGATTTGTGATAT